TGGTGGAGTGTGGAATAGTTTGATAAATCACGATGTATTTGAAATATGTGTGTAGGTAGACTACATGTTGACAGAAGATGTTTATGTCACTGTGTATTGCCATGTACACGCGTATGTGGGGGGTGTAGGTGTGGGGGCGGGGGTTTAGTTGTTAGAAAGTGGTAAAAAGAATATCGGTAATACCTCAATAATAATCCAAATCAGATGATGCCTCTTACTATTCTGCGTAGTGCACATGCAGATCATTTAGTCATAGATTGAACTACCTCCATCACTGTATGAGCTAATGCGATGTGTGCAGTGCTTTCAGAAAATATTTCCATATCCATAAGTAGTTTATAACAAATGTTTTATTCAAATCAACGATGTGCAGCAAAGCCAATCAGCTACCAGGACTGTACACTGTCTGTTTTCTAACTTCCTGGTGCCCACCACAGAATTTGGTGGTCCCTTTCAGTGACGTGTATTCATTTGTAGTGACATCACAGTGATTGGTCAATGTGAGTTTTCAAATTTATAAAAATGTTATGTTTATAAACTGTTAATATTTAGTTAAAATTCATAACATAATGACGATTTGGCAAAAAGAATGTACCCCTCCTCAAAATTTAGTTCCTTTTTGACAGGGCTTATGTGTGATTTGCGAATTTGCAAAATTTTATATCAGTAACAATTTGGCTGGAGTCCTACAACGTGGAATGTCAGTGACTTACATGAAATTTTGTCTTTATCTATGCCATAAAATTCCTGAAATTTAATGGTTTACTGCATATTAGGTTGCCTGTATGAGATATCACAAGTTGATAGTACATGTATGTGTGGATGTTTGCATGTCATTGTATTGTCACTTGATTTGTTTGTTCATTTTACTACATATAAATAATATATGGACTTCTGTGTATTTTCATAGAACTCTGTCAGAATGAACAAGTCTAGTAAAACCAGTACTTTGATAACTGGTAGCCAAAGCAGAGGTCGTGACAAACAAACAACGTTTGCTGCTTCAAGAACTACAGTTGCGACTTCATCAAGTAGACGAAGTGGAGGGGCTTTAGATAAAGACCAACAAAAATTACTGACATCAAAACACCATGGAGTTGTTGTGAGTTTTCAATTTCTTGTAATTTTGAGGAAATATGTCATTTTGAATATGCAGGTTTTATTTACTGGATTCTCACGGGAAGACTGCTTCGTATATTGTAATGATAAGGAAACTATGTTTGTACTTGACATAAAGTTTGTTGCTCGCATTTGTGTGAAGCTAAATAAAACTAAATATATATGTGACAATCTGGAAACCTGATGACTCAAATCAATTCAAATTTGGTACAGGAGTTCTTTGTGATATTTACAAGATCATTAATAGTTTTGATGCATATCACAGCTGGGCGTCAACACACAATTTTATTCTATAAGAAAAAACCCACATATTAAACATGTTTATTGTAGGTGTTAGACGAAATGGGACATGATGTAACACCCCAAAGTTTACTGGTAATTGATCCCAATGCAGTAAGACCAAATCAAAGTAAAATATTTGGACATGGAGGTGCAGATTCTACCACTGGTACAGTAAGTATTTTCAGACATTGTATTAATAGAGCTACCTTTCGTAGTTACTAAGAATAAATACATCATAAATATTCAATTTTTTTACCTTAAAATGTACAAATGTATGTAGCAGTGGCAATATCATTTATGTTCAGCGTTGGTACACAGACACTTCATCATGAGATTCATAACTTTCTGATGTTGTTTTATAATGCAACAATTCATTAAATAATAGTCCTGATTTTGTTTTGTGATCTCATTGAAATGGCCACCTGGCAACCATTTTCATTATAAAGGCCATTGTATCGAAGTACTTCATCATGTCTTCAACTGAAATCTTTATCTCAGTGTTTTAGTGACAAATTATGACTAAATTATGGACTGTCATTAACAATGTCTACTTATGTACTTGTATATTTTACTCATTATGTAGCCAACAGATCTGATGTCGCAGGCATCCATCTACCAAACTGGTAATGCAAGTTTTGCTGGACCTTTTACAAGGTAAGATTCATCTACCATTATCTGGTGACAGTGAAATAATCCTACATTCTATACTGTTTTTGCTCTATTGGAAATGCTTCTCTAATAGAAGCATTCATAAATGAAACATCTAAAAATTGCATGTATTGTGTGCTGGATCATTAACATATTACTTATTTTCACCATAGACATGCATGAACCTCTCTTACTTGTCTCCACGTTTGTTCACAATATTTTTATTGACTCACCCAAAAGCAGTCCATTGTGTTTAATGTTTTGTTGCTCTGCTTTTTGACGTAATGGATATGATATTGTTAATTTAACTGCAGGTCAGTATTTGGCAGCACATCTCAGTCTGGTCGCTCTACACCTGAATCAATGTCAGATGAAATAGCTGAGCCTGGTGACACAGACATACCAACAGGTTTTGAAGGTACTGTCTAACTGGAAATTATTCATTCACTTTATCTCAATTTCATAGGACCAACTATTAAAGTTCATAGACAGTTTCTATTCTAGATTATTAGAGATGAAATATGACCAATATTTGAATGCAGATTAACCTTTTTCAGTTTGGAAATATTCTAATCTAACATGCATGTCTTCAGCCTATTTCAATATGAGACTCTGACAAGAATGATCTTGAACATGTAAATACATGGGATGATTAGTAATGGTCTGTTGGATTAATGAGCTCGCTGACCAATTACCAATCAAATCAGTGACCTGTCTGACCAATTGCCGTTGGGTCAGTAAGCTATCTAAACCATGAGTCATTGGATCAGTTACCTGTTTGACCAATGGGCCATTGAATCAGTCTGCTGTATGACCAATGGTCCATCAGATCTGTATGCTGTCTTACCAATGATACCATTTGATC